AAAAAAAAAAAAAAAAAAAAAAAAAAAAAAAAAAAAAAAAAAAAATTAAAAGAACAAAACAAAATTAGAAATGGGAGATGTTGGACTAAATTGAGCTAAATGGAACTGGAGGGCCACGTGGGAGGCGATAGACTAGATTGGGCTGGAAGGGACTAAAGGGCCGTGTGGGAGACAGGGGCTAAACTAGAGGGCCATGTGGGAAGCTCTGGACTAGATTCAGTTTCTTCACCTCTACAATAGAGAAAATAATGCTAGTCCTAACGTTTCTCTCTCAGGGTTATTACTGATCAAAAAGAAATATTTTTTTGAGCTCCTACTATGAGCTCGGTTCTATGCTAACTGTGTTAGGGAAGACTAAAAAAACATAAGACATGTAGCAATATTGTTCGAAGAATAACTGTGAACGACTAAGTTATTCTGAGTATTATAAATACTCAAATCTACTACAGAGGACCTAGGAAAGAAGGTGCTGTCCACCTCCAAAGAACTGATAAATAGAATTATGCATAGTGTGTTTTCCATACCTTACAGAGAAGGACCATGTAGGTCCTATATTTTCTTCTTCTTTTTTTTTAAATTTAATTTTGTTACATTTTATATATGTGTGTGTGTGTGTGTGTGTGTGTGTGTGTATGCATGTGTATCTGTGTCAAGTGATAGCCTTCTCTAGTGTGGGGTGGGGAGGGAGGGAGAGAGTTCACAACTTAAAATGTAATAAAATTAAATTAAAAAAGAAATGCAAGACATACATAGTCCTTCTGTCTAAGGTATTCACAATTTAGCGAAAGAGGTTAAAAGTCACCTGAAATGAGAACAAACTGCAAAATTTTGTGTGCTTAAAGGCACAGTTGAATACTGACTCTGAGGGCTGGAAAGATGTGATGAGAGGCAGTTTGGGATAGTGGGAGAGGTGACTCTAGAAGTCAGGGCGTCTGGGTTCAAATTCTGCTGTCTACACTAACTTTTTGACCATGGGCAGGTCACAACCGCCCTGAGCCCCCAAATAAAAAGGTGGGGAGATCCTTTCTGGCAGCAGATCCTCTGGTAATGAACCTTGTATGCTTGATCTGTGTCGTAGGGCTGGGAGGAAAGCTGCAGACCCTAATCGCTATGGAAATGTTTACTCGTGTTCCTTTTGCTGGGAGTTTAGTAGACAGGGAGATCGGTGGGAGATTTTAAGCAGGAAGTTAGACTGTAGCTGGTCTTGAAATCTGAGTAGAATTTACATAGGTGGTAGGCATAGGACTGGGAAAGCATTCTGGGTAGGGGGAGAGAAGAACCAGCATGAGTTGAGTCAGGCTATAGAAGCAGCAACAAATGTACATATTGCAGAGCATTGAAGGCCCTAGCCAGATTGGAACAGAGGGGTTATGCTGGGGTGCTTTTGGAAAGAAAGTTGGCTAAGAAGGCCAGAGCCAAGTGAGACGGGGCCCTATCTTATTTTGATAATAGAAGCACTGCTTTTGGGGGATGGGGCAACTAGGTGACATAGTGGTTAAAGCACTAGGCCTGGCATCAAAAAGGCGAGTTCAAATGCAGCCTCAGATACTTAACAGCTGTGTGATCTTGGGCAAGTCACTTAATTTTGTTTGCCTCAGTTTCCTCATCTGTAAAATGAGCTGGAGAAGGAAATGCTAAGAAGGAATTAGGTACTCCAGCATTTCTGCCAAGAAAACCCCAAATGGGGTCACAGATATTCAGACAGGACTGAAATGATTGAACAAAGAGGGGGATCAGTTTGTCTGGGATGTTGCACAACACTAGACATGGCAGGCCCAGTGGAGAAAGCCATTGTGCCAGGCATAGAGAAGGGACAGACCTGAAAAGCATTTCAAAGAAAGAATTTTTAGGATTCAGTGTGTCTGATCAGATTTAATGAAGAACAAACTGCAGGAGGAAACAAATTGAGGAAAAAGAAAAACCAGACATGTTTCTCAAGTTTTGAGTAACTACAGGAGGGGGGAACCTGTATGTGGCCTCAAGGCTGCAGGTTCCCCAACTACTGAACTAGGCAAATATACCTCTGCCCGGCACGGGGGCATGAAAGGGGAGGGTGTTTACGGCCCTGGATAGATTTGCGGTGATCATGGACAGACTTCCTGTGGTGGTGCCAGTAAACTAAAGTTTAGAAATATCCCTGGGTTCTAATCTCATCTCTTCCACTTGCTCTGGTTAAGTACCTTCCCCCATGTAGGACTTAACCTTCTGACCTGTGAATGAAGGTGTGGATTGGATAAGACAGTTTCTAACTTTTTCTATGTCTCCCTTCAGACTGTGAAAGGAGGATTTTCTGAGACCAGGATAGAGAAACGCATCATCATCACGGGAGATGAAGATGTAGATCAAGACCAGGTATGCCATCTGTTCTACCTAGAACCCTGTGCCTTGATCAGAGGACATCTGGCCAGGCTAGAGAAAAGGATGGGTGTGGGGTAGGGAACGAGTCCATTTCCTACTGTTCTAAGCTCTAATTTGGGAGCAGGAAGGCAGAAGGGTGAAAATTCAGTACAAAGCTGAGATCTGCCTTTCACAAGCGATGGACCTGTTACCACTGTGACTGACAGTGTTAGTGGTATTCATCACTCATCTTCTACCCTGCTCACCCCTCATGCCCACCCTTTATCTGGTGACCTGGCCTTGAGTCCCTGAGAAGCAGTGACTAGGAATCTAAAATGGCTTAGTGGAAAGATCCCTGGACTGAGAGGCCAGTGAGCTGGATTCAGATCTTAGCTTTTCTACTGATCTTATATGTGACCTAAAATAAATTCTTTTCCCTTTCTGGGCTAATTTCCTTCTCTGTAAAAATAAGGGTCCCTTGTCCTTTCTAGTTCTAAATGTAATGATCCTAAGATCCTTTTCTAGTATCAGGAAGTAACTTACTTGGAATTTGAGCAAAAATACCAAGACATTTTCCCCACTAAAAGAACTCACAAGGCACCCTAAACTTCCTTCAAAGCAAATCCCAGATCATGAAGAGGAAAACTCACCAAGCATCCAGTCTTTGTATATGGAGCTCATTAAGTAATCAGAAATAGGCTTAGGTCTCATAGGCAAAACTAAGAAGTGTTACCAGTGCTTGGTCTTTTCTAGAGGTG